GGTACATATTAAGATCTGACAGTTCAGACCAGCTAATTGATTTTTGGTGTTTTCACTCAATTATAATAATATATATACTTATATAGATTTCTTCATCAGGCATCATTCGATATATAGATTCATGTAATTATATGTTGAGATATTTCCAATATCTATTAGTGCTAATTGACTTAAACTTGTATCAACCCATTGCAAGGATATAAACTGTGTTCAAGAGGGGTCTTCTGATACAGTACTATTATACACAACAGCACCTATAAAATTCAATGTGGTCCAAACAACAGTCATTCCCAGTCATATACCAGTAGCTTGGTTAATAATTGGTTAGTTTGAAAAACGTTACTATACTTAAACGATGGCAGAAGATTTGTCTTCGAAGCAGGAGAACACATAAAATAATTGGAAACCTTAGTTGTTGAGAGTAGGCTGCTCATAAACACCTTTACACTGGCATCGTTAAATTAGCTACAACGGTAACACAAACGTAACTTTCAGGATACACCGTTTAGCAGCTGTGGATGTTCGATACTACAGAGAACTATGCTTGTTTAATGTCTGTCTTCTTTGGTCTTTACTATCTTTACTACGACAGAAAACATAATTATCTGAAATAGTCGTAACCGACAAAAACTTACGATACTAAAGACACTAGGATGTCCGGAACCATTTTACCAATATGATCAGATAAAATCTATTACGTATATACTAGTGATTAATAAATCAGATGAAATCAGATGTTCTTTCCCAGATCAATGGTCGGCCATGATATATTATATACGTTATTAGTCTAATAGATAGATGGAAGCGGTTTAGAATTAATTGGCAATTTCTGGACTGTAGGCCTATGTAATACCATAGGTTAAATCTATGACGTCTTTAAATGAAAGCTTCACTTATATCCTTGGGTTATTTCTACGGATATAATGAATATAAAGATTATAGCGCATTTTATGAAAATAGAAAAACAATACTCGGTATTTTTCTGTCCTGACGAAAGTTGTTCATGAAAGTGATATCTTTTTATGGTACCCTCATATTTTTTATTTCAAATTGCCGTGGCTCTCCTGATATGAGAGATCATATATAACTGGTTCATCTAGAACATTGCCCGGTGTAATATTCGTATGTTTGTCCACCCATTAATATATTACAGGTTTTCAAATCAATTAAGTTATGGCTCTCGTCCTTGGACAGATAAACCGTCCTTCTTCCTTCTTCCCACGTAAAAATTGATATGATCATAATCAAATAATGATGAATGATGTTTTATTAACTTTATATACATGGTCAAAACATGGTCAACATGCTATTACATCTGGTCAGTATTAATGATGTATATAATCAACCTCTTTGTGCTGTAACTGTAGTTCCTGTTCACGGAAATTAATACTACATGTATCAGGGAAATGTACTTGTATTCTGTATACTGCTATTTGATACATAGGATATTACTTCCAACAGAGATGAAGGGTCGGTTTCAACCTTTCAATGTCATTTATGTATTTTAAGTTAATTTTGAAAATCTAAGAGCTTTATGGTGATTGCCTAATGATTATGATAATCTTAAAGTAATCTTATTAGGAAATCGATCGAAATACTATAGGAAAATATAAGGTAACTAAAAGGCCAAATTAGTGAGAGAGACAATTTTATTTCCAAAAGAAAATTAAACAGCACTGGGTGGTACACGCCTAAAAGATCTTCGTGATAAAAGAGTAGTGAATTCAGTATGAGTATAAGATGCCATACTGATAACTCTTCCGCGTTCATTGTCCGATTCAATACATAATAAACAATGCAATAATTTCCTGAATTTCAAACGAAAATTTTCACTAAAAACACAATAGAGTATAGGATTGGCTGCTGAATTGATGTAGGCAAGAGTAGTCGTTATCACCACAAATAACCACGAGTCGTGGAAAGGCTGTGAAGAAAATGTATTATAAAACAGTAAGATTTGATGTGGCGAATAACTCAGAAAATATATTATAACACTAGCTATCAACATTTTCACTACACCCTTTCTAGCTCTGATAGCTTCTGATGTTCTACCGCGATTGTTATGGGAGGTTCCGTTCAGTTCGGTTCGACAACGAACGGTTGCGTTTCGATGTAACGTTTCAACGCCGACGAATAAACGTTTACCTATTACTATATAACACACTAACTGAACTAGTAATGGTTCGAAATAGAAAAGCACTGATTCGGTAAATTTAAATATCTTCATATATTCTATAGAGTTTCCAGGAAAGATAGTCATACAGAATTTAACGTGTGAACCAGGGAATGACGATGCCACAGTATTAAAAATAGTCGTTGGTATTCCACATAACACAGATAAAATCCAAATAAGCACGATTACCATTAAATTCTTCTTTTAGTACATAATAAATGGGCTCTGATAGGAACACTATAGCTATATACCTGAAAAGATAAAAAGAGAAAATAGTCAATGT